ATGAGTAGCCTAATGCCAGGGGAGTAACTTGAACCTGTCTCATGTCTACCTCCTCCAATGCACTGTAAATTGTTTCATCATCCCTGCATTGTCTGTTGTCTCCCACCTGAAAAAAATGCTCAATGCATGTTTGATGGATGAATGATTGAATACATGAACACTCATATTGACTTTTTCAGGAAATGCCACAAATATTCCTGTATAATCTTCCCTTAATCATTATTCTTTGAGCTTGGACTTAGTAACCAAATGCTCCTCTCTCAGGGACTTCTTTTTCCCCTTTGGACTGTATCCCTATGGGCATTTATTTCAACAGCTGTTTCCCAGGTTCTGTCTCCACATTTCTTTCATCCTGGGTCTCACTTAGATCTTGATCTAGTGCTTGAAATTTAGGAGCATGCGCCATACAAATACTTGAAATACAAGAAATACTTGTTCTAAGGTAATTTCAACCTATGTTGGATTCAAAAATAGAGCCAGTCCAGTCATTGACTTGGGGTATTTAGCAGTTTGGTCATTGACTGGAATGGAACAACTTGGGGGTTGGGAAACACGTGCCCTGATTGTGTGTCCAAAGAAAAGTCTGGCTTTGCTTCTTGGGAGACTCTTTACTAAATACTTACCAGTGTGGCCACCTCCCATTCTTTTACAGTCTTCCCCTGATAAACCTCCTCCAATCTCTAAGCTCTCCGAAAAAGTAGAAGATAAACCCAAAGACCCTCCAAAGCACTTCTTGATGTCTTCAAAGGAAACACCTGAAGCGGGGAGACAGAAACCAAGAGCACTGTGATGCTGAATGACTGCTACTATGGTACAACCTCTCACAGTAGTAAAAGCTGCCATTGATTTTGGAGTCTAAGTAATGTGGGTTGAAATCCAATTCCATTACCCAGTTTCCATGTCCTCTCCCATGTGGTTCCAGCCCAAATAATTCTTGAAATGAGAAAGAATATGTATTGCACAGACTAGTTGCTCAAAAATGCTAGTTCCCTTTCCTTTGCACATTCTCCCCTGCGCCTCGGTGGGGCAGTGATTCTCATCATTTCCATATACCTCTGTGCCCAGCAAAGTGCCTGGCCCATTTTCACTCTGTAATTTTGCACATGTTGCCCCTTTCTCTCTCCTTTTCACCATCTTTCCAAAGCCCCAATTCAAACATCATTTACTTCAGGAAGCATTTTTTGGATCAGAATACTTGTACCTTTCTTCAGATCGACCAGTGTGCTTTGTTCGCACCTGGATGATCATAGTTGTCATGATTCTTTTTGCCCAGGTTCTTTCTGCACCCCAGAGAGGCCAGAGTGTTGTTAGAAGATGGAGATGTCTCCAAGGCGAGTGTGCCTGCCTTCTGACCCCAGGTGAACTGTGAGTCCCATATTAGCAATCTCTGTATTTGTCCCGCTAAGGAACCTGCACTTTGCAGATGCAGAACATATTTCTAAATACAGTAAGGTCATGTTGCCCTGATCTCACACCCTGTAAATGGACGGAGCTGGGTTGCCATCCCTTGGTCGGCCTGGCAAGATGGAGCTAGAAAAGCAGATCGGAGCAAGACATGGACCATTGCTGCAGAGCTCAACTCTTTCTGCAGCAAGTCTTCTGATGGTTGTGAATTGGAGTTTGTACTTTAGTTTTGGAATGTCATTACTTTTAATTAATTGCAACTGTATAATAATTATTACCAGTTATTATGTTATCCTGACAACCACAAAGGAAAAATCATTTAGGGCTATGATTCAATTGAGCTGAGGATTAGATTGAATATTTTCTTCAAGGGAGTGTTCAGCAACCAATTTTACCTGCCAGCATCCCCATTACACTGCAAACTCTATGAATTCAAGAACTTTTATCTTATTCACCACTCTCTTGTCAGCATAGCAGTGCAATGTCTGCCATGGAGGAGGAGTTCAGAAACTATTTTCAGAATAATGATCGAGGAATAAAAAGAATGAATGAGTAAATGAATGCTATGAGCCAGTTCTTTGGCAAGGGCTTCTGATGGAAAGCATCTTGGAAGTCAGAAATCCTGAATTCAAATCTTTCA